GTAATTAAGTGACTAAGAGTCATTGGTACATGAAGGAAGGTAGGGATGCTCTGTAAATACAAGGAATAGTCAGACAGAGTGCAATATAAACAGGAATCAGCAATGTAGAAAGCCCTTCCAATTAGTTAAATAACCGGCTCTCTAGTCAAGGTAAGTGAAACAAGCAGACAGGATATGACATGCCCTACGTTGATTCTAGTCCCATGCATGATCAATCAGCCACTGTGGAATTCATTATCTGACTGCACCCTGTACAATCTTGTCATATGTCCTGGTGGAGCAAGGCACAAACTAGGACTATGGACATCCAGGGAAAGCCCCCAGTGGAGCAGGAAGTAAACAGCTTTGTGAAGCCAAGAGTTCTCTTCCTTGTACTAATTCCAGAGTCCTTCTTTATTAACTGCTTCAATTTGGGGAGTGATGTAGAAAATATTTCCCTTTGAGGTTGAAAAAGACCCTATAAACTTTTTGTGGAAGATCTTGGCCAGGTCTTAATTTGGGTAATCCCATTCTAATATCACATATCTAATATCACTGTTTCCCCTACCTGGTATTTCCAAATGCCAATTTATTCAGATATTGTCCTCACTCTCTCTTTGAAGGGATTCACTAAGACAGATTTGGCCTTTAGTATTTTAACCTAGTTCGAATATAATTTGTAGAGCAAAACTTTCTGAAGAAACCACTGAATTCACCTAGAATCATACTGGCACATTCAAACTCAAAGGTGAGCAAACTGGTACTTTACATTGCCCTACAATGTACACTTCTTTTTCTCTCTCCTTTTGTGACTTTTTCTTGTATTACCAAGGTGATGGTCCTGAGTTTGTACACTGACCCCTTTCAGTGGCCACTTCTAGTGACACAGGCACCGTGGCTAGGTCTCTTCCACTTGCTGAAGGTCATATGCAAACAGAGGCTCCTGGTTGGTCTGTTGCGTCCATTGGGGGGGGGCGGTGAGGAGACGGGGAAAGGGTAGGGAGACGGCTGCCAAGAATATTGAACACTGAGTCAGGAGAGGCCTGGAGAAGCCATCCACTCATTTGGCTCCAAAGGAGAAATAACTTCTGCTAGCACTCTCTCTTCTCCCCTATTAGTGAGCTAAAAATCAAGTATCCTCTTCCTTGGACTTCCATTCATTGAAGGGGAGAGAGGAATCTGACTCCTTCCCTCTTCCTGGCCTCCCAAACCTGGTAACAATGGCAACAGACCGCCTATGACAACCAGTACATATGCTAACATCTCCTCATGCCGGCTTTCACTTATGCACTCATTTTGTGCTTTTTGGACTAGGGGGTGCAGTGGATAGCATGCCAGGCCTGGAATCAGAAAGACCTGAGTTCAAATCTAGCCTCTGACATTTACTGTGTGACTCTAAGAAAGTCCCTTAACCCTGATTGCCTCAATTTCCTCGTTTGTAAAATAAGGTGGAGAAGGAAATGGCAAAGCACTCCAGTAGCTTTGCCAAGAAAACCCCAAATGCGATCGTGGAGAGTTGAACATGGCTAAACACAACCAATGCAGTAACATTATCATTGTGAAATCTCATCATTTTGCAAGATCCAATCAGCCTTGGCAACTGTACCTTATCAGTGCCATCTGCCCCTCTAATTGGAGGGTAGAATCATAAATTCCTCAACCTCCATTTAAGGATGATTGATAAGACAGGCATCCCCTCATTTCCCATCCACTTACATTCATTCTGGACTTCTTTGACTTCACCGTGCTGTAATACTGCATACCCTTCCTTCTCCTCCTTCCCCACCTTTTCAGCTTTTGTGTGTATGTATGTGTGTTGCCTTCCTCCAATAGACTGTAAACTCCTTGAGGGAAAGAACTGTTTTTATTTTTTGTATTTATATCCTTAATGTTTAGCATGGTACCTGGCTTATAGCAGGCTTAATAAATATTTATTGACCAACTGCTAGCCTACATGAACCTAAGATTGAATGAACCTCAAGTCTCAGGGTATCTCTTTTGCTTTGTCTTTCCTGGGACACAGGACATCACTGAGATAGCTGCTGCTAACCTTGACAGGAACTTCCTGAGTTCAAGAACTCAGGAGCTCCTGGGTCCAGATGCTGGTTACTCTGGAGATGATCTTTGAAATACTTGGGAGAAGAATTTCATTACCAAGAAAATAAACCCAAAGTATCCACTTGCTTGCCAGATGATATGGATTCTGAATAAGGTACTCATATTATACAGAACCAAGGTGAAACTGAAATACGTGCTCAACATTCCAACAAAATGTTTCATATTTTAAGTATCAAATTCTCTTGAGAATATAATGTGTGATGGGTAACTGTAATAATCTAGTATTTGATAATTCCAAAGACATAAGTTTTGGGGACAAGAACTCACGATTTGACAAAACCTGCTGGGAAAATTTGAAAGCAGTTTGGCAGAAACTGTTGGTATAGACCAACATCTCACACTGTTTACAAAGATAAGGTTAAAATGGGTAAATGATTTAGACATAAAGGATGATACTATAAGCAAATTAGGGGAGCATAGGATAGTTTGCCTATCAGATCTATGGATAAGGGGAGAATTTATGACCAAACAAGAGAGAAAGAAAGAGCACATTATGGGATGTAAAATTTATAATTTTGATTACTTTACATTTAAAAGTTGTTGCATAAATAAAATCAATGCAGTCAAGATTAGAAGGAAACCAAAAGCTGAGGGAAAACATCTCACAGCAAATTTCTCTGATAATGGCCTTGTTTCTCAAATATATAGAGAACTGAGTGAAATTTCTAAGAAAATGAGTCATTCCCCAATTAATAAATAGTCAAATGATATTTACAAGCAGTTTTCAAATGAAGAAATCAAAGCTATCACCAGTCATTTGAAAAAAAATGCTCCAAGTCACTATTGATTAGAGAAATGCAAATTAAAATAACTCTGAGGTACCATCTCACACCCATCAGATTGGCTAATATGACAGAAAAAGAAAATGGCAAATGTTGGAGGGGATGTGGGAAAATTGGGATACTAATACACTGTTGGTAGAGTTGTGAACTGATCTAACCATTCTGGAGAACAATTTGGAACTACGCCCCAAAGGCTATAAAACTGTACATATCCTTTGACCCAGAACTACTAGGTCTGTATCCAAGAGATCAAAGAAAAAGGAAAAACCCATTCGTACAAAAATATTTATAGCAGCTCTTTTTGTCCTAGCATAAAAAAAAATGAAGTTTAGGAGATTCTCATTAATTGAGGAATAGCTAAACAAGTTGTTGTATATGATTGTGATGGAATACTATTGTGCTGTAAGAAATGAGGAGCAAGATGCTCTCACAAAAATCTGGACTTACATGAACTGATGCAAAGTGAAATGAGCAAAACCAGAAGAACACTGTACACAGTAACAGCAACACTGTAAGACGATCAACCATGACTGACTTAGTTCTTCTCGGGAATACAATGATCCAGGACAATTCCAAAGGACTCACGATGAAAAAATGCTATCCACCTCCAGAGAAAGAACTCATGGAGTATGACTGCCAATCAAAACATAGTATTTAAAAAAAAAAAATTTCGTGTCTTTTTTTTTTGGTCAGTGTTTTCTTTCACAACATAACTAATGTGAAAATATGTTTTGCATGACTGCTTACATATAACCTATAGCAAATTATTTGCCTTCTCAAGGAGGGGGTAAGGAGAGAGAGAATTTGGAACTCAATATTTTTATAAATGTTTAAAAAATTTACGTGTAATTGGAAAAATATTTTTAAAAATAATGGTTGTTGGTTTGAATTTAACCCATACACTGTTCTGCAAACCTTTAAGCAAAGATTCTTACCCCTACCTTTCTATATTTTTTAAAAAATAATTTGATAATTGTATTTCAATATAACCGGCTTCCTTTGTATCCCTATATATTTTATGCATTAAAAACATTGTTTTGATAAGGGGTCCACAGGGATCTATGACGCACAAAAAAGTAAAGAAGCCCTGCCTTAAAGTAAGGCATAACTACTGAATCGAGAGACGCCTGGACAATCAGCTTTTTGCCCTCACTCAACATGGCCGCCCAGGACGGCATCTTGCAGGAAACGCCTCCTTCCTCTCTCCTCCCTCCCTCATCCGAGCCCCTCCCCCAGCAGGGCTTTCCCTTTGCCCCCCTTTGACCAGCTTGTCTCACATGACTGGGACCCGCCCCCGCCGCGTCGGGCGTGCGGCGCGCCGTGATGACCGCTGCGCACGCGCGGTGGCGGCGCCCCGGCCGGTGGCAGCGGCGGCGAAGGGGGGGGGCGCGGCCCTGCCTTCCCACAGTTGCCGTCCTGCGGCCCACAGAGCGGGATGGTTTAGCGGAGTTTGCGGTCCGCGGGGGCCCGGAGCGGCCGGGGAGGGCTCCGGGGGCCGCTACCGCCGGTCGGATCTCTGGATCGGGCCCCGGAGGCCGGGCCGGCCCGGGCCCTGGAGGAGGAGCAGCGGCCATGGCGGGGCGCTCGGGCCAGGCCGTGCTGGACGAGTTCACGGCCCCCGGGGAAAAGACGACACTGCTGCAGGAGAGCCGGGGCCGCATCGAGGGCCTCTTCGGGGTGTCCCTCACGGTGCTGGGCCCGCCCGGCGCCCCCACGCCGCTGCCCGCGCCCGGCCGCATCTGGCTGCAGCTCAGCGGGGCCAAGGAGGCCGTCCGCAGCGCCAAGGTAAGTCACCCCCTCCCCCCTCCTATCCCGTCCCATCCCTGCCCGACCCGTGTGCGTGTACGTGCGTGTGTAAGTGAGTGCGTGTGAGTGCGTGCCCATCGCTCCTGCCCGCTGCTCGGGTCCGCTCGGCCGAGGACCGGACACCCCGGGACCACGGACCCTCTCCGTGTCGGGGTCTGGCACAAAGTAGGCACTTGCTAAGCGGTTGTTTCCCACCTGTTGAAATCCGACCCGTCTGTTGCCACCTCCGCCAGGAAATATTTCCCAATTTTCCTCCTCCACCTCCAGCGGAAGTCAGTAATGATCCTTTACCCCTGAGACATTACATTGTTTTCATACCTCCTATACATTTATTTTCACCTAACTTACTAGGGTTTTTTTTTGTGTGGGAGACACTTGCAGCCTGCCTTCCTCTCCTCCCAGTCCCTCCCCCGCACACCCTACTTTCAGTCAAAGCTCTGTGAATTCCAACATCCAATTATCTTTTGACTTTAGCACTAGAATTAGAACCACCTTAGGGTAATCTTCCTGAAACTGTTTATCCCTACTCCACTGACTCTAAAACTTTCAGGGACTTCCTTTTGCCACCAAGTAACATTTAAACTCCTGGCTCTAGTATTCCAAAGTCCCTCCCTCCCAGTTGTCCCTGTCCCAGCCTTATCTCATACAGTTCTAATTGAGAGGCTGGGCATTCCATCCAAACTGGACTGCCAGTTTTTGTTTTTGTTTTGGCTTCTCCTGTCTCCGTGTCTCCTTTTCTCATCCCTTCCCCTAGCCTAGAATGGGCTGTCTTCCAGCTGGGACTTTCCCTTATTCCCCTTACTGCTCCCAAGCAGCTTTCAATCAAAATTTCTATATAAAGAGACTGATCTGCTTGGTATTCAACTTGCCTAGGACTGTCACTCCCATCCTCATATCAGTCCACTATCTCCAACTTCCTAAAACTTAGTTTGCCCAAAACTCCACCCTGCCATTTAACTCCAAACCAGTTCCTTCTCCCAGCTACAAAATTTCTATGAATGATACCACCCTTTTTCCCATCTTCTAGGGGAGAAATCTTGGGGTTATGTTTGGCTTTCTCTTCTTCATCCCCTGTATCAAACTCCCCCCCTTTTTTTTTCTTTGTCCTGTTAAGACTGCATCTTAAGTATTAGGTTCAGGTCTGGGTGTCACATTTAGGAACAGCATTGACAAATAAGAGTACAACTAGTTAAGGGATAAAAAGCAGGATTAGTTGAAGGAACTAGAAATCTCTAAAGAGGTGGAGACTTAGGGAGATGTGATAGCTGTTTTCAGTGTTTGAAACATGTTTTATGGAATAGTTTTAGATTTAACTTTGCTTGACTACAGAGAGCAGAACGTTTTGCAGAGAGGAAAATTTCAAATTGACATAGGAACAATTTTCATAACAAAGTTGGTCAATAATGAAATGACCACTTTAGGAGTCAGCTAGTTCCCCATTATTAGAGATCTTCCTTTTTTGTTGTGTGTCCTTCTTTCTCGAAGAGGACTGTGACATCAGGAAGGTGATGCCATGACTTGCAAGTGAACTGGAATCAGGGAGGGCTGTGCAAGGTCACCAGCCCCACTTTCTCCTCTAGAGCCATCTGGGTCCAGTGGCAAGATATAAATCAGGATAACTGGAGGTGGCCTGCAGATCTTCCTTTAAATGGAGGCTGAATGACCACTTATAATGGTGGTTATAGAGAAAGGATTCCTGTTCAGGTACTAATTGGAATAGATGACCTTAAGTTCCCTTCTAACTCAGAGATGCCATGAAATATTTCTTGGATTGGCTCCTTTGTCCTCCTTCCCACGGCTACTACCTTAAGTCTTCACTACTTCGTGCCTAAGTTACCACAAATGCTTCCAGTTTGCGGAGCTTCGACCTTAGGAGTTTATCATAAAAATAACTCATCGTGTCTTAATGTTAAATTATTGCTTTTAACCTAACCCATGGATGAGAGAAACTTTTTTTTTACTATTCCAAGACCACACAAGAGTGAAAAACAAGTTGATTAGTTTAGGGGAGTTGTGGGTTATTTGTGACAGATATAAAAGATTTTATTTATTTGACTTTCAAATTGAGGACAGGGAACATCTAACTTTATTCTATAACCATCTAAGTTATGGCCAGGTGGGAGATTGAGGAGAGAGAGGGAAAGAGACAATTTTGGGTGTCCCTATGATGCAATTCAGTTCAAGAAGCATTTATTAAGTCCCTGTTACATTCCTGACACTGCTTTAGGTGCCAGGGATACAAAGAAGGAGGTTAATATTTTGCTGGAAATGTGGGTGACAACATGTATACAAATAAGTAAGAACAAAGTATATGCACAGTGATCATGGGGGTGAATCAGGAATGGACTCCTTAAGGAGGCTCCAGAAGGAGCACTTGGGATGAACAAGGGATTCCAAGAGGTGGTGATGAGAAGAAGGAGCATTCCATGCACAGGGGACAGCCTGTGCAAAGGCATGGAGGTGAGGGATGGAATGGCATGTTCAGGAAACAGCAAGGAGGCCAGTTTGGCAGGAACATAGAGTATATGAGGGGGAGTAATGGGAAATCAGTTTGGAAAGATATTGGAGCCAGATTGTAAAAGACTTTAAAAGCCAAAAGAGTTAATATTTTATTGTACAGGCAACAGGGAAACTACTGAAGAAGATCCTTGACCAGAGGAGTGACGTGGTTAGAACTGTGATTTAGGAATACCATTTGGGCAACTGGGTAGAAGATTTATTGGAGAGGGGAGAGTCTGAGGACAGGAAGACCAATTAGGAGGCTCTAGTGATAGATCAGGCAAAAGGTGATAAGTGCCTGAACTAGAAGGGTGAACATAAGAATAGAGAGAAAGGGGCAGGTTTGACAGATGTTATGAAAGTGGATTTGATATTATTGGTAACTGTTTGGATGATAGAGAGAGTGAAGAATAGAGAATGACTAAGATTCCAAACTGGATGGTGCCCTCAACAGAAAAAGTGAAGGTCAGAGGAGAGGTAGGTCTACAGCAAAGGTTCTTAACCTTTTCTGGTGTCATGTACCCCTTTGGCAGTCAATCCCTTCTCAAAATAATGTTTTTAAATGAATAAAATAACATACGTAAGATTACAAAGGAAACCAATTATATTTTAATACAATTGTCAAAATATTTTTTTAAAAAAACAAGTTGGCAAACCCCAATGTTAAACCTCAGTGTAGAAGGAAATTTGAAAAATTCTGTTTTAGACTTGTTGAGCTTAAAATGCCCATGGGACATCCAGGTGATGTCTAGTAGTTAGTTGGAGGTATGAGACTGATGCTCAGGAGAAAGATGAGGGATGGGTATGTCAATTTGGGAGTCATGTGCACAGAGACAGTAATTTAGCCAATGACAACTGATGAGCTCACCAAAAGGATGAAGAAAATGGAATTAATACTACTTTGATTCAATATTGTATTGATTTTATATTGTAATCTAATAGCATCTGCTTGAAGTTACCTTTCTATGTCCTTGAGTTGAGCTCAGAAATTTAGCTTTCCCTCTGAGTTTGTTTAAAGTTATAATTAAAAGAAAAATTGTTACTTCTTACACCAATAGCCCCTGAGATACTTCCAGGACATGTTTGTTAACTTGGAACCATCTCCAAAAGCTGTCATCTGTCTTTTCCAGTCCTCATGCAGTTAGAAGAGTTTTTATCTCTTCCAAGGAGATAGTAAGTTGGTAGTTTTGATCCCCTAGCAAAGATTACAAGATGCAGAAGGACCCCATAAAAAAATTAACATTCCTTAATTTTAATTTTATTTGGCACAAGAGAGAATAGAGTCCACGACAAGTCTTGGAATACACCTGCAAATGGAGGTAGGACATGGAGGGTGATCCTGCAAAGGAAATCAGAAGGGAAAGAGATAAAAGGAGAACAGAAGGTAATAAACCAAAAAAACCTAGGAAACGGGTGACCAGCAGTGTCAGATTTTACAAAAAGGTCAAGCAGGGTGAGACCTGAGAGAAAAGGTTTAGTGAAAGATCTATAGTAACTTCCAAAAGAGTAATTGAGTGGCAGAATCAGAAATTAGATAACAAAGTATTAAAACATGAGCAGGAACTGAGGAGCTAGAGGCAGCAAACATAGACAGCTTTTTCTAGGCTGTGAAAGGAGAGATATAGGAGAGTAACTTGAAGGGATGGTCGAGTCAAACAAAAGTTTTGTTTGTTTTGTTTTAAATGAGAGGGAACTAGACTTGTTTGTAAGAAGCAGAAAAGGATCCAGAGAATAAACAAACAAAAAAAAAAAAACTCAGAAGAATATGCCAATGAGAAGAGATGAGTATAAGTGGAAAGGTTGATCTTGGAGGAGAGCAAAATTGGAGCAAAGAAGAGGAAAGTAGGAGATGATGTTAAGGCAATTTGAGGTGTAGAATTAGAGAAAAGAGTGAGAATACATTAGAGAACCTCAATGGGGGGGGTGTGGTATAAAGTATGAAGCAAGTTCCTCTGCTGAGAGTGATTTGGGAGAAGGCATGGTATTGGCTTAAGGAGAAAAGATGTTTGGAACAGATGCTGCAGAGAACGCTTTAGAGAGTCAGTGAGGGAAGAGTAAAAACAAAAAAAAAAAACAAAAAACCCTCTGTCTTGAGAACTCCTCTTTTCCTTCTCTACTTCTTTCAATGAGCTTTTTGTTCCCCATGAGTTCAATTATCTCTAAGGACAGGACTGCCAGATCTGTTTATCTTGCCCTGATCTCTCTCCTGAGTTCCACACCACTCTGCTCATTACCTTCACTTAGATATCCCATCAGTATCTCAAACTCAACAACTCTAAATCCAGAAATCCTTATTTTTTTAATATGGCCTTGAACAAGTCATTTATCCTCCCTTAATCTCAGTTTCTTCATCTGTAAAATGAGAGGCTTGGGTTAGATGGTTCCTCAGAGCCCTAACAGCTCTGTGTCTATGATTCTGTAAGTCTACTTCTACACTTCCTTATTTCTGTTGAAAGCATCCTTATCCTATCAGTAACCCA